ATGGGGAAACGGTATTTCACCGTGATCTTGTTGATTGCACGGCTATCCACACACATACGCCATATGTCATCCTTCTTGGGCGTCAGTAATGCGGGGACCGCACAAGAACTCATACTTTCTTTCACAAAGCCTTTCTTCAGCAGCTCATTAACTTGCCTCTTCAACTCTGCATGCTCATTGGGATTCATACGATAGTGAGGCAAATTGGGAAGGGTTGCCCCGGGATTAAATCAATTGCATGTTGGATATCACGCATCTGTGGTAACTGGTCCGATAGGTCTTCAGGGAAGACATCAGAGTACTCTTCCAATACAGGAACGACTTCTGAGGGAGCTGCATTGGCAATATCCTTCGGAGCTTCTCTAGCGGCGAGGGCGAAAATAGGAGCTCCATTGGTCAGTTCACGATCAATCTCTTTGGCTCCAATTAAGTTAACACCTTGGAAAGACTTGTTTGGATCGAGTTTCTTGTCATTACCCTTCGGTTGAACCGGAAGGATCTTGACCTTATTCTCGTCATGCTCTAACAATAGCATGTTGGATCGCCCAAAGATATGAACGTCGTTATCAAACAGCCAGGGTCTTCCAAGAATAACTTGACCCACATCCATTTTCAGAATATCGCACCAAACTTTATCCTTATAAATGGAAAATTGAAGAGGGACTAAACATCTCTCTTGAACATTGAGTGCGGTGTCGTTAATCCATGATACCTTGTATGGATTAGGATGGGATACAACCTTAAGACCAAGCTTAGCGATCATAGCTGAGGAGACCGCATTAATACAGCTTCCACTGTCCACGATCACCTTATAATTTTTATCACCGATCTTTGTGAACGTATGAAAAATGAAAGTACGTCTCCAATCATCAACAGTCTTGGGTTGGGAGATGGCGCTTCTGACAACTGATATGGTAGGAGTTTCAATTTGCCTAAGACAACCTAAGACAGTATCATCTGCGTCATCCTCGAAATCATCGGTTGGTAGGAGTTTCAATTTGCCTAAGACAACCTAAGACAGTATCATCTGCGTCATCCTCGAAATCATCGGTATCATCGTCAACTTGATGGACAAACTCAACCTAAGACAGTATCATCTGCGTCATCCTCGAAATCATCGGTATCATCGTCAACTTGATGGACAAACTCGTCGCTATCAAGTTCATGTTCAAATTCGTATTGTCCATCGATGATAGCAACCTGTGACGGGTCGGACAGTTCGCAGAAACATGTCCATACCCTTGGCATTTGTAGGATTTGACGTGAGCGCTAATTTTGGAGAATCTCTCTCCGGCTCCTTGCCCTTGAGGTCGACTTTAGACTAAAAAGTGCTAGGGTTAGATCGACTCAGAGGCTGACTAGAGGTAGTGGCACGGGAAGACTGGGAGAAATAAGTTCTAAAATCCTAACTCCTATGGGATTTGACTTCATCTAAGTCCTGAACTAATGCGTAAGCTCTCTCAAGGGTGTCTATTCCTCTAGCAAAGAGTTCAGCTTGGAGGTCGTTTCTCAATCCAGCTCTAAACTTTGATAAGACCTTCATTGGTGCCTCTTGCTCAATGGTGCTGCATCAAGTAAACAATTCGTCGAATTGCGCAACATATTTTTTCACAGACTTGGTTCCTTGAATGAGACGATGCTACTTGTCTAATAGTTTGTGATAAAACGATGGCGGAAGGTACTTCCGCTTCAGTTCATCGGCCATTTCTCTCCAAGTTGTAATCGATAACTCACCTTTAATATGCCTTAGCGTTTCGAGGTTGGACTAATATTGGCAAGCGGGTCCGGTGAATTTTCATAGCTGTGAATTTGACCTTTCGGGGTTCCGTCAGAGCGTACCAATCAAAGTAACGATCCATGTTCTTCAGCCAGTCCAAGAAAGCTTGTGGGTCGAGCTTGCCGTCAAAGGTTGGTGCGCTGACCTTAATGCTCCTCAAGTATTACGTGTCCGGGTCAGGTACAGGTTGGTGTGGAGGTCGATGAACGAAGTGCCCATAACCTTGGCCTTGCGGTGGTGGGACGATGGGTCCAAAGCCTTGATCATGCGGTGGAGGAGTTGCAACCCGTGTTTCTTCGAGCCTTGCTAATCTCTCGTTGTTGTCATTCAGGATCTCACGGGTAGCTTGGCTCTCCTGAGCTAAATTACCTATTTGTCGTGCTAGCTCAGCGATTTACTTAAGGAGTTCGGGATCTGTGTTGTCTGACATGCTGGACTCACTAGTTGACTCACTTGACTCTCCCAATCGATAGGGTAAACCTGTGCGAGTAGGCATGCACTACAGCTAAAGAGATGAAATGTGTGTACTAACAGCTAATGAGATGATTTTTTTATATATAATAAAGACTCAATCTAAAAAAAATCCTAACCTAGAACCACGCTCTGATACCAAAAATGATGTGAAACAATGTATATGCAGGTGCAAGATCAGCGACAACAATGCTTCACCAAATCAGCGATCGATCTAAGCAGGAAATTCAAAAGTAAAATGAAGCGAACGATGGTTTTTAAGCAAAAGTTGTAATGTATTAAGTTTGAACCTTTGTAAAATTATTCCGATAAATAATGTAATGATTCGTTCTCTTAATACAGTTTAATTTGTAATATTTAGATAAGCAGAAATACTTAGCAGCAGATTCACTCGCTCACTAGTCAAACTGAATACAGCACAATCGTAATTGATACTAAGATTGATAATAACACGCACGCAATAGCAATTCCGAAAATACTTGGGCGTAAGAAAATTAAACCTTCGTCGGGTTGGACTGGTTCAACTGGAGGATCCTCTGGAGGTGGTGTAATAAGTCCGAATCTGAGTGGCAGAAGTTCTCCGAGGGTTACGTAATTGGGATGAAGCGGCGTGTCTGGATGGAAGCGTTGGTGCCACGAACTAATCCCCAAGCGACTCTCTACGCTGTCGACGATCTGATGAGTCACACGCTCAACGTACTCGGGTACGCTCTCGAATGGCAGATAATTGAACCACGGGGAAAGCTGCAAATCAACAATATCAGTCTCTGGGTCAAGCACAAGATCGTTGTCTTCAGCGTTAGGATCAGCCATACACCAACGGATTGCGGAATCGAAATTCGGGACAATGCAGATTGGGTCTGAATCAGGGTCTGGTCCAACTGAACCGGTCAAGTCTGAACCAAAATATACCACCCAATGAAATAAAGTGGTCTGAACAAGTAGACCAGATCCAAATATAAAGGGGTTGGGTCTGTTCAAAGCTCAGACCCGAAAATTCGGCTCGACTGTGATCTGAGGAAGAGAGGACGAAGCGACTAGGGCACAGCGGCATTCCGATCGGTCGCGACGTCGGACTTGGCGACGTGATGAAAGCAGGCGGCGGTGGATGTAGATGCCGGCGACGACTCTCGGTGTGATTAGGGCTGCGGTGGAGCTACTCGGATGCGTGGCTGGCGATTTTGACGGG